ACATAACAACAACAACAAAGAAAATGAAATCAAATCCACAAGGACCAAAATTTGATCTTGAGTTTATCCCACCTGAATTTAAAAATCATCTCAAGAACAGGTTTGAGGCCTTGACCACTAATGAACAAAGACCAGATGAGGTTGGAGAATATCAAGAATATAATCCATAAACAATGCAATCATTACAAAGACAGGAGGAAGAAAAGACTGAGATGGGTATTAGAAGAAACTCTGAATATTGCACTGAGGTGGAATAGAGTGCAGAGAAGGCAAAGCAAAGAGAAGTCAGGAAGTTAAGGAGTTAACTGAAGGTTTTAAAGGGCGGCTCAGGAAAACAAAGGAAAGTATTATGATGAAGTGTGCAAAGAGCTAGAGTTGGATAATCGAAAGGGCCAAACTTGTTTGGCATTTCTGAAGCTGAAGGAACTGAAGAACAAACCTCGAGTTGCAATACTTAAGGATGCTATGGGCAGAAAACTGAATGATCTAGGAAGCATTAAAAAAAGATGGTAGGAGTACACAGTCTCTGTACCAAAAAAGAATTGGGTGACACAAAAGAATTTAATGAAACAATACTATGATCAAGAGGCAATGATGGAGGAGGAAGTTGAAGCTGCTCTGAAGGAATTAGCAAAAAAAAAAAAAGCCCCAGATATTGATGGAATATCAACTGATGTAATAAAACATGAAGGGGTGAGAATTCTTCATTATTAGTATATACAGATATCTGAAATATGGCATAAATAGCACTAATCATCAAAATGAAAATTTCCTAATTAGGCTTCTTTAAAACATATAATGGGCGGGTCTGGGGGGCGGACAACATATAATCAACAGTGAAAAAGTGACAAAGTTGAACAATTGGACAAAGATCCTCATCCGTTGAATTTTTAATGTTAGTCATACTTTTGTCCCTCCTTGTTGTGTATGGTGGCATCAGATCCGACTGGCATAGAAGATTGTCCTTCCTTCTCCAGTGGAGCATCTTCTTGCCACTAGACCACCAGAGCTCCCTAGCAATACTTATTTCTAAAATTCTTTTAAAATATATTGTTTTCATAATATTTTATCTAAAATATCTTACTACAATTTGAAAATTTATGGAGCACATCGTTTCTAATTAAACTTTATACGTTTGTATCGTAATTAGTTGTAATTCCTTCAATATAATAACACTCCTCTGGCTTCCTTAGGTTCTGGTTTCATCCTCTTTACTCCCTTCTGAACTTTATTCTGTTGGGCAGATGTAGCACATTTGTTCTCATGTGATTGACTGTTGAGTGCATTACTCCCAGGTGTTTTTGCCTTGTCCGTTTTTTGGGCGAAAAGTGATCTTTTAGGGGTATGTTCAGCTCCGGATTTGAGCTAAGGCCATAGTCTTGGGAGTTCCACCAGTCTTGATTGTTCTAATAAGCCTTAACTTTTTTTGATGATTTTTAATTTTGGTCTTTCTTACTTCCCCTTTGTCCAAGATCTTTGATTGTGGTCCTGATTAGAGTGGATGGTAATGGCAATCAAGTACTGTCTAGTCTTTCTGTTTTAGGCTAGCAGACGCTGCGGTTCATAGGGTCCATCAGTCCTTTGGACTGTTTCTTTGAGTCACTGATCTTCACGTTTCTCATCTGCAGAATGTAAGAGACCAATACCTGTACAAAACTGTCCTTTTGAGACTAGCACAATAGGCCGTGAACAAGGAATTATTTTTTCTTGAACAAGCGTGAGGAGGTGGTCAAGGCACATTTGCTAACAGCACAAAACACTACACTTTCCCCAAGGCACATTTGCGAACAACACAAAACACTACACTTTCTCTGGAAGCAGAACCTCTGCAATTGGCACCACTTGTAGACACGCTACTAGGGGGCGGGCCACAGCGGGAACTACAATTCCCAGCAATCCGCGCGGTTGCTTTTCGTTTCCGGTGACAAGGCAAGCGTGAGTGTTGACTCCGACGGCTCTGCGGCTGGCGTCTTTCTGCGGGACGGGTGAGTGCGCTGGGTCTTGGGGTGCGGGTCCTCATCGTGTGTTCTTTGGTTAGATGGGCCTCGGGAGCGGTTGGGTTGCCACAAAGAGGCAATATTCCCGTCTGGCTAGCTGTCATAGGCCAGTGATTCCATCTTAGTCTCGGTTCATCTGTAAAATGTGAATGACTCTGCTTACCTTGGGGGCCCCTTGTGAGGATTAATTGAAATATAGTGTTCAAAAAGATCGATTTCTTCTTCTGTGATTACCTTTGAGGTGGATGGTATGCGGGTTCCTTGATGTCTACTGGGGAGCTTTTTCGTTAATCGTCAGCCCCTCCACCCTTTTAAGAGCTGTAATGATCACTTACGTTAAGGACTTGTTCTGCCTCACAGGGTTCGTCAACCTTCAGAGTTTTGTTTCATGTTTTCAGCATACATTATATGCCAGGCAAGGGGGGGGGGAATCACAATTTTCACTCTTTAATTTTTTTTCTATTTTTTAAATTTTATTTCATTTTGTGTGTACCGTCAACTCAGATATGACTGATACAGGAGGAGATTGTTCCTCCTTCTCCATCAGAGCATCTGGTGGCTTTGAACCGTGTACCTCTGAGATTGCAGTACAGCTTCTTGCCAGTAGGCCACCAGAGGTCGCCACAATGTTCACTCTTGAGGATCTCTTGGAATATCAGAGAAGAATGGATATTTGTAGTCCTTTATCCTGAAGGGGATTGTGGGACTTCAGAGGGAGAGGAAACAGGAGTTTGTGTTTGGGTTGGTAAGAGGCCAAAGAGAGAAAAGGTGTCAAATGAGATGCTTGTTCTTTTGTCAGTCTGTGGAGTGATCAGAACTCTTCTCCAACACCACAGTTAAAAGGCACTGGTTCTTTTATCATCCTTATTCATTGTCCAATTAAGAAGACCAAGGCCTAGATCAGACATGCCTTAGTCTTTTAAACTGATGTCCTTACTCTTTAGCAAGGAGACTTTAGAGAGGTCTTTGCCAGCAGATTTTCCCAGTGGAATTTGTTGATTTTTAACTGCAGTTACCATGTGCATTGATTGTATGAATGACTGACCACTTCGCTCTTTCCTCCATTTATTGCTTATTGGTCCCATAGTGAAGATTTTTGTTTTCTTGATGTTGAAGTGTAATCTATGTTGAAGGCTATAGTCTTTGATCTTCTGCAGCAAGTTCTTTTCAGGTCTTCACTTTGTGCAGGCAAGGTTGTATCTGCATAACACAGGTTGTTAATGAGTCTTCTTCCAATCTTGATCCCACATTCTCCATAGAGTCCAGATTCTCAAATGCTACTTTGCTTGGTATACAGATTCAGTAGATACAGAGAAAGATTGCAGCCCTGATGCATGCCTTTCTTGATTTTAAAACATGCAGTGCTCTCTTGTTTTGTTCAGACAACAACTTCTTGGTCTAGCTATAGGTTTCTCATGAGCACAATTGAATTGCTTTTCTCAATATTATCTATAATTTGTTAGGACTATGAAAATGTGAAGTGTTGTGTACTAAGAGGATCAGACAGCTTTTTATTAATATAAATAAGGTACATGGCACCTTGTAGGGTGACATCTTGCAAATCATGTGTATGCAACTCTAATGTGGAGATTGGTCAGTTTTGTCATTCTGTTAGGCTTAAAATGAGCCATCCTAGAGGCAGAAGAGGGAGATCTCACTGCCATCAAGAATGAAGAGCTAGGAGAGGAATAGACTTTTCCTTTGGACTCAGGATTTATGTGCTGAGAACTGCCTTAGTGCCGGAGACAGTGAGATGTGACACCACAGATGATGTAAGATGGTGAGAAGCAGCAGCAGAGAAATGGTGGCAGCAGAACCAAGAGACTGGCACCATACAGAATAGTGGGTTTTCTAACCCATGGAGTGAGAAAGCTGAATGCCTTTCTGTGACTTGCTGGCATATGGGGATGCCTCTGGGCACTTATTTCCATAGAGCTAAGCACCTTCAGCTAGTGGTTGTTGCATTGAGGTGCTTTTGAATGCTTAATCAGAGCTAAAAGCTTTGAAGCAAGGCAGAGGCCTGATTGAGGGACGAAAGGCCTGCTTGTGGTCACTGCTGAGAAGCAGTCTTGAGTGAAGAAGTGTATTCTGAATTGTTTCTTATTTTAGATTGTAATCTGTTACTTCCCTAGTAAACTTCATAATCATGAGTATTTATGAGTTCTTTGTGGCTATTTGCAATGAATTAGCAGACCCAGCAGAGAAGTAGCAAGAGCCTCTCTGTCTCATAGGAATCAACTGATAGTGATTCTACTCTGGAAGTTACACATTGCTCCTGTCTCTACATTGTTTTTACAGGAGCCACTGGAAAAGTTCTAAGAAGAGTGATTTGTTCAAGTCTATGTTTTAAATGAGTATTTGGAGGACAGACAAGAGATAGGAAACTTGTAGAAAGCTGTAGTGAAAACTCAAGTAGAATTGAGAGGAAGAAGTCTGAAATAGGAATGTACAGAAGGAAAGGGTTGAATGATGTCATTTGAATGTCACAACATTTCTGTTAGGTTGGAGAGTGTTTTTAATGCTCATGTTAATGATGAAGAAATTGAGGCCCAGAAAGCTGAAATACCTTACCTGTCATCACAGGCTGGGTAAAAAGACGGCCTCGGGTTGAAGTGCCAGCTTCTTAATGCTGCATCAGTGTTACTCTGATTATTTCTGGTATATTCCTTTAATGTGGGGAGGAGGGGAGGAATTAGGATTGTGAGCTGTCCTCCAATCACTAAGACTTTGTTCTATTACAGGGAGAAAGAGAGAGCGTGAAAGAGAGAGGATGTCTCTCTCCGACTGGCACCTGGCGGTGAAGCTGGCTGACCAGCCTCTTGCTCCAAAGTCTATTCTTCGGTTACCAGAGGCAGAGCTGGGTGACTACTCACTGGGAGCCTATAGTATTTCGTTTCTGAAGCAGCTCATTGCTGCCAAACTCCAGGAATCTGTTCCAGACCCTGAGCTGATTGGTAAGTCTTTCTGGACTAGGACAGAGCTGCCTTTTTGGTAGAATGTTTGGAACTGTAAGAGTCACTAGGAAGGGGAGGGGGTAAAATATACAACAATGAATGAATGAAAATCTAACTGCTTTGTAAATGTTAAAATCACAATTAAAAAAAAAGTCACTAGGGAGCTCTGGTGACTTAGTGTTAATGAATTGTGCTGCGGGGAAGATGGTCTTTTGCTTCCCTTGCACTTTATTGCCTCTGAAAACCTGCTGGAGGGTCAGCTGTGAGTTCTGACTAGATGGTCCTCAACAACAGCAATAAAACAGGAGTAGATAAAGAGTTTGGAATTTATTGCCCTATAACACTATGTTGTTGTCCTTATGTGCCATCGACTTAACAGCCCGGGCTCTCTCCTCTGCCAATCTTACTGCCTCTGCCACACCCATTCCGATTACCCCAGTCACTGAATCAATCCACCTTATAGAGGGTCTTCTCCTCTTGTGCTGTCCCTCCACCCTCCCAAGCATGATGTCCCCCTCCAAGAACTTGTCTCTCCTTACAACATGTCCAAAGTATGTCGGATGAAGCCCCAGAATCCTTGCCTCCAAGGAGCAGCCTGGTTTAACCCTCTCTAGAAGGAATCTGTCTGTTTTTTTGCAAGTCTATGGTACATTCAATACTCTTCTCCAGCACCACAGCTCAAAGGCATCAATTCTCCTTCTATCCTCCTTAGTCATTTTCCAACTCTCTGATGCATAACAAGTGATTGCAAAGACCACAGCCTGTATCAGATGCACCATAGTCTCCAGAGACACACTGTTGCTCTTGAGTACTTTAGAGAGGTCCCTAACAGCAGACTTTCCCATCGCACTATAGGAACACTATGGGAAAGTAAACATTGGAGGGATAGAAATATCAACATATAAGAAAATCATATATAGGTGGCAGTTTCAATTGCTTTTTACATTGAAATACTTTTTACAAAGTCCTTGAATTATGACCTTGTTGAATTGACTTTTTAAAATTCTTTTTATTGTGATTTTTCACAAAAGTTTGCGGAAAGATTGGGTTTTCGTTCATTCATTGATTGTTGCACATTTTCTTCCTGCCCCCTGCTCCCTGCCCCCAGTACACTTTGCAGTGCACCTCTTATTCCAAATTGTTGACATACACATAATGCCTAACCATTTTTTTCTTTCCGTCATTGTTGAATTCTTATTCTTGGTGCAGAAAATTTAAAGTGAGAAGGGAAGTTAGTTAGAGGAAACTCCCTTATATGTGGCAACTCAGATCTTAAGGAATAATTAGGCTTTTTTGGTGTTTGGGTTTGTTTTTTGTTTTTTTTTTAAAATTGCAGTTTAGGTGAAAGGTTATAGAGAAATTAGCTTCCCATTTAACAATTCATGTGCATTTTGTTTTGTATCATTAGTTGCCATTCCATCAATGTGACAGCTTTCTGCCTGTTACTTGCTGGATCCTTTCCTATCCATTCATCCTTCTTTCTGCCCCTTCCTGCATCTTGAGCTTTATGTTGTGGCAGATACTGCCTTTTTGATCTCATATAGTTAATTGTGCTGAGAAACACCTTTCTCTCTGGTGGAATGTTGTTGTTATTCTTCCATAGAGTTGCCTGCAACTTTTAGCAGCCCTAGACACAATAGCTCTGAACATGCCCTGTCCTGAGCCAATCTCACTATCTCTGATACACCTACCCCCATTAGCCCAGTTACTGTGTCAATCCATCTCATCCAGGGTCTTCCTCTCCTGTGCTGTCCCTCTCCCCTTCCAAGCATGATGTCCTTCTCCAAGGACTTGTCCCTCCTGGCTACGTGCCCAAAGTATATGAAACAGTTTCAAAATACTTGCCTCCAAGGAGTAACTTGGTTTCACCCTCTTGAGGATGGACCTGTTCTTTGTTTTAGCAGTCCATGGTCTATTCAGTACTGTCCTCTCACAGCTCAAAGTCATTTACTCTTCTTCTGGTCATCCTTAGTCATTGTCCAGCTCTCTGATACGACCATGGTCTGGATCATGCATACCTTAGTCTCTAGTATTTTATTCTGGAGAGGTCTCTGACAGCAGATTTTCCTAATACAGTTTGCCTTTTGATTTCCTGGCTTGTGCCAAGAATGTTGATTGTGGAGCCAACCAAGCCGAAATTGTTAACAATCTCTTCTCCATCTATCATGGTACTGCCAACTGGCGCAGTGATGAGAATCTTCATGGGGTTTTTTTTGTTTGTTTGTTTGTTTGGTTTTTTTATGTTGATCATCAATTTATATTGAAGACTACAATACTTGACCTTCTGCAGTAAATACTTCAGGTCCTCTCAGTTTCAGCAAATAAGGTTGTGTCATATGCATAATGCAGATTGTTGATGAGTCTTCCTCCAATTCTGATGCCACATTCTCCTCATAAAAGTCCACCCTCCCAAATGATCTGTTCTGCATATAGATTGAACAGTTATGGAGATAGGAATAGGACACATCCCTGATGCATTCTTTTCCTTATTTTTAACCATGCATTGTTTCCTTGCTCTGTTCTGTCAGTTGCCTACTGGTCTAAGTATAGATTTTGCATGAGCACACAATGTTCTAGGATTCCCATTCTTCTCAAGATTAACCACAATTTATTGTGATCCACATAGTCAGATGCCTTTGCATAGTCAATGAAATACAGATAGATGTTCCTCTGGTACTCTCTGCTTTCAGTCAAGATCCATCTGACATTGGTGATAATGTCCCTAGTGCCATGGCCTCTTCTAAAGCCAAGTTTTATTTCTTGTAGGATTCTGAGGCTCCGTCTAACATACTTTGGACATGTTGTGAGGAGAGACCGGTCCTTGGAGAAGGACATCATGCTTAGGAGGGTGGAGGGACAGAGTAGGAGGGGAAGGCCCTCTATGAGGTGAATTGATTCAGTGACTGGGGTAATCGGGATGGGAGTGTCAGAAACAATGCGATTGGCACAGGACAGAGCAGAGTTTAGGGCTGTTGTACATGGGGTCGCTATGAGTCGCAAGTGACTCGACGGCACATAACAGCAGTTCTCTGTCAATGTACTATTCCAATCATTTTTGGATAATTGTCAACAGCATTTTGCTGTGATATTGTTTGATAATTTCCACACAGTCAGATCTCCTTTTCTTGAAATGGCAATAAATATGGATCTCTTCCAATCAGTTGGCCAGGTAGTTGTCTCTAGATTTCTTGGCACGACCTCTTTTTTTTTTCTCTATAATTATATTTTATTAATTTTCATAAACATTTACAGAGATTTTGGGCTTCCACTCATTCATTGTTGCACTATTCTCTCTACCCTCCTCCCAGTTTGTTCTTGTCCAAATGCCACAGTGCTTGTCAAAGCCAGTTCTGATTAATCTTCTTTGTCAGTGTGTCCTTTGCCATTCCCTATCACTCCTCCCTGAGAGAGACTTCACCCTGAGTCATAAGGAAAAGGGGATGGCGTATTCTCTTAGCTACTTCCTGCTGAAAAGGGACGCTGTGGGTTTCAGGGTGAAGATCTTCTCTCACTACTCTAAAGGGCCCCTTTGGCAGTAGGAAACACATAGACTATTATGGAGATTGATTTTGGAATTTAGATGCACTCTTCTTGATTGTGCTGGGCTGTACATGTTCATATCCTTGAAGATGTATCATGGGGGTGTTGCAACCTAGAAGACACAAATTTGACTAACAAGTTATAAGTACATGAGTCCAAAAATTATGGAAAAGTAAAAGAAAAGATTCTTTCATTGTTTTACAAACCCTCCCCCAGGTCCCCTCCACCATGTAGCCCTCGCTCTAGTCTCCTGTGATGACAGAAATACCCAGTTATATCTCTCTTTTAAACGGTTCTCTCCCTCCTCTGTTTCAGTGCAGTATACATTATTGAACCCATCTTACTCAGTCTCTCCCCAACCCCAAGGACAGACCCATTCTACAACAGTGGCATCATGTAATATTTGTCCTTTTGTGACTGGGATATTTCACTCAGCATAATGTTCTCCAGAGTCAACCATTTTGAATAATATTGCATGAGTTCCTTGTTTTTTAATGCAGCATAGTATTCCATTGTGCGAATATACCACAGCTTCTCTAGCCATTCGTTTGTTGATGGGCACTTAGGTTGTTTCCAACTCCTTGCTATTGTGAACAAAGCTGCAATAAACATGGGAGTGCATATATCTGCTTGGATGTCAGCTATGGTCTCTTCAGGGTATATTCCCAGTAGTGGAATTGCTGGGTCAAATGGTACCTCTATTTGCAACTTTTTGAGAAAGCGCCATACTGCTTTCCACAGGGGTTGTACCATTTTACACTCCCACCAACAGTGAATCAGGGTTCCAGTTTCTCCACAACCTCGCCAGCATTTGTTGCTTGCTGTTCTGTTAAATTTTGCTATTTTGACTGGGGTGAAATGATATCTCATAGTTGTTTTAATTTGCATCTCTCTTAGGGCTAGGGATTTTGAGCATTTCTTCATGTGTTTGTTAGCCATCTGAATGTCGTCTTCGGTGAAGTGCCTGTTCATATCCTGTTTGGCACAACCTCTTAAGCACATCTAGGGCTGCATCTGTTTGTTGATATATGTCAACTACTATTCCATCAATTCCTGGGGCCTTGTTTCTTGCCAGTTCCTTCAAAGCAGCTTAAACTTCCTTCTTCATCACTATTGCCTCTTGATCATAATGTTGTTTTATAAAATTCTTCGGTGTCACCCAGTTCTTTTCAGTACAGTGACTCAGATGCCTTCCATCTTCTTCTGGTGCTTCCTGAATCAGTATTCTGCCCATAGCATCCTTAAGTATTGCAAGTTGTGGCTTGAATTTGTTCCTCAGTTCCTTTAGTTTAAGAAGTGCCCCTAGCTCTTTGCACATTTCATTATAATACTTTTCTTTGTCTTCCCAAGCTGCCATTCTGTTCAGCTCCTTGACTTCCTGATTTCTCCCCTTTGCTTTGGCTCCTCAGCACCATATTCAGAGACTCATCTGATACCCATGTTGGTCTCATCTCCCTCCTTTGTCTTTTGCATTCTTCATGGATGATATGGACATCTGGTCTTTGCTCATTAGTAAGCAAAGTCTCAAACCTGTTGAGAAGGTTCTTAAATTCAGGTGGGATAAGCTCAAGGTCAAATTTTGGTTCTTGCAGGTTTCCTTTTTTCGGATGGAATAGTTCTCTTTATATGCTTAGCTGTTGTTTCTGTTGTTTAGCTGAAAAGTGATCCTTGGGGTTTAGTTCATTCCCCACTTTGACAGGGGTCTCTGAACCATAGGCCTAGGGGTTCTCCCAGTCTGTCATTCTAGTAAGTCTTGTGGGTTTTGCTTGTTTTTTAATTTCTTACTGCCTTTTTGATTAGCTCTTTATTCAGAATAAACTTTCTAAAATAGAATAAATGTATGTGGAATAAACAAATGTAAGAGTTTATGCAGCAAGCTTCTTTTCTTGGCAGGTTTCTTTTCTAGGACTTCTTAGCTGCTTGTTTCTTGGTCACTGTAACCTTTTTTCCTACCATAGGCCTCTTGTGTGGAACCACCCCCTCGTCTAATTGAACCTCTGGTGCTGCTGCTGCCATAGCTATGTTGAGTTAGTGATTTCTGGCCTGGTCACGGATGATGCTTCAACACACATCTTCTGCATGTGTGTTTAGTCAGAGATTCTCAGATCTTTCAGTGGAGTCTTCTTTAGGATTCTGTGATGAATCTTGCTTGGTGTTTGGAGGACCCTTTGAATCTTGGAATTTTTCAAGGTTCTGCTAAGATCTCTATTGATCATCTCATGCAAGGAAAGCAGCTATAGTTGCTTTTGAGGGAGGCAGCTTTCTGTCAAGTGTCATATAGCTCATTTAACTTGCAAAAAGCACCATCAGTCCAAATGCAGAAATACCCCACATGCCCACCAAGAGCAGGTTTCAAAATGTTCAGTTCACTTATATTAAGCAAATTAATTCCAGGGATATTTCTGAAGGCCTTAATGACATGATTGTCCTCATTTTAGGTAATGCGTGGTCCTGCACACTGGATCCCATGTTGGCTTCTCATTTTGTCCTTGGAGGTTATCATTTGTTTGCCAGCTCATGCCATTTACTGAGAGACATAGATCTTTTGATACCATTTCAGGCCTTAAGTTTCTTAAGAAGCCTGGCAGTCTCCTTGGTCATCTTGTAACCCTTAACAGTGACCACCAAAGGAAGTTCAGGCACTTCAATATGATGACCTTTAGGCATGATCAGTGCTGGTAAGGCCGAGGCAACTAGAGCAGGGCAGATGGCATGGCTGTTCTGATTGTGTTCGGCCAACAATGCCAGTGATGCCAGGTTTTGTTAAGTGCAAATATGGGGCTTTCACGACTCATGTTTCCAAAACACCATGGCCAGAGTGCTGAGTCCCACCACCTCAAATGCTAGGAATTCAAGTCATAGTTCTACCAGTACCCCACCCAACTGCTCATTTCCTTATGGCTGTGGGCTGCAGTTGATGTGGATGAGATACACCATCTCTGCCCAAATGGTAATGTTGAACATAGCAGGCAAAGGTAAGTCTCCCTTTTCACAGTCCACTGATAAATCAGTGGGCGAGCACACACCATGGGGAGTAGAGAGCACTACGCTCCTCTCAACCCAATGGCTCCCACAGGAAGGGCTGGTCTTTTCTCTGATTTTGAATTTTGTTCTGCATTGTTCTCCTCCTCTGGTCCAAGTCTTCCTATTGTGGTCCTGGTCAGAGTGCTGGGTAATGGCCGCCAGCTACCATCTGGTTCTTTGGTCTCAGGCTAGTAGAAGCTGTGGTCATGGGGTCCATGAGTCCTCAGGACTATTTATTTCTTTGAATCTTTGATTTTCTCCAACAATTACATCTTACAAGTTGACCACTTGTAAACTTTTAAGATCCCAGTTAACTACTCTCCACAGTAAGATACAGAACATTCGCTTTATGAACTGTGTTTTGCCGGTGAATCCACATTTCCCTTGAGACTGTGCCTGTGCTCCCCAAGGCCACAGTTTCATTCCTTCAAAGCATTTAGTGGTGGCTAATAAGGCTGCATACTTTGAGTTCTCTTTGCTTTGCTGCACATACAAAAAACACATGTAGAAATCCTCTGTTAAATCTCAGGAATATGGTCCCATTCACCTGGCCCTAACTGTTCAACTTTCCTGTGTGCCTATATACTTACTCTAGGTTATTTGTTATTAACTGTTATTGCAGGGTTGTGTGTATAATAGTATTTACCTGTGTGTCTGTTACTGGTGCACTTCTCAGTGTCTTCCTTTGCCTTTGTCATATTGTGCTGATCTCCCCTGTTACGCATGTTGGCCTTTCCTTTCACCCGAGTTAATATATGTCTGCTGTCTAGGGAGCTCTGGTGGCTTAGTGGTAAGGAGTTGCACTGTCAACCCAGAGGTTCACAGTTTGAATCCATCAACTGCAAGAGAAAGATGGGCAGTAAATTCCTATGTAATTTACTGCCTATGAAAACCCACTAAAGGATCAGCTAGGTGTCAGTTACATCTTGGTGGTACTGTCAAAGAAGATTTCTGTTTGTCACTGATGAGAAGGATTTTTATTTGGTTAACTGATTAGAGGGAAGGAAATAGTAAGGGAAATGAAGATGGCAAAGAGCATTCCAGGTGGAGGAAGGAGTTGTAAATTTTTTTGTGTTTATTTTATTAGTGAGAATATACACAACACAACATAAACCACTTTCTCAATTTCTACGTATCAGTTACATTCCTTACAATCACTCAAACTCAAAAACTCATTCTGTGAGTCAGGTTTTAACTGACTCATAGCTGACCCTCTGGTGGGTTTTACACGTTGTAAATTGCACAGAAGATTGCACGTCATTCTCCTACAGAGCCACTGGTAGGCTTGAACCGCCAGACAGGTGCTACCTTTGAATTGGCAATGTAACTCCCTAGTGACTGCATCATCAGAGCTCCCTTGTACAGCCATTATTGTTGTGTACCATTGAGTCGGAACTGACCTATAGGTGACCCTCTGGTTAATCGCATGGGAGGAGATTGCTGATTTTTCTCTCAAGGAGCAGGTGGTGGATTGGAACTGTGTGCTTTGGGATTGCAGCACAGCTTCTTAGTGCTAGGCCAATAGAGCTTACTTGTTACAACCATTGCTACCCTCCTTTTTATGAATTGTTCTTTTCCCGTTAACATAAACCCATTGATCCTTAAGATTTCTGTCAGTCTTTCGAGTTGCTATGTCACTTTAATCTTGCATGTTGTTAATGTCCTTTTCAGTTGATACTGACTCATAGCCGATCTTCTAGCGGATTTTCAGAGGCAGTAAATCTCAATGGAATTGATTGTCCATCTTTCCCCCATGGAGCAGCTTGTGAATTCAAACCATGTGCCTTTGGGTTGACAGTGCAGCTCCTCACCACTCGGCCATCAGTGCTCACCAAGTAGATTTTTTTTTCTTTCTTCAAAGTAGATATTTATTGCTAGTTAAGTAAACTATTTGGTTTTAAGGAAACTTCAGAGGATATGTTTGTTTTAACAATTATTTTAGAGCAACAGTTTCTGGGATTCATCCAGTCCACAATTGTAATTTTTAATAGCAAAGGGATCCAGCTTGCCAAAAGGGTTCGTTACTTCCCCCCACTCCTCACATCGAACATACTGGTTGCTACTGGTATGCCAGTCCTTTTTGTTGTTATTGTTAAACTTTTCCCCTTTCTTTTAAATTGAGCAGTCGCCACAGGGTTAAAGCTTTATGGCTGTTCTGTAGACAGATTCTGTACAACTCCGTTTTGCGAGTCTGTACTTGCTAACAAACTTTAGAATATTTATGTTCTATAAGAGTATCTTTAGGATGTACAGTAGAGTACATTCTCTAAACTGAGGGCAGAAAACAACTACCTAAATTGTTTTGAGGAACAAAATAACTAACAGGTATTCCTTTTTTAGATCTGATCTACTGTGGCCGGAAGCTGAAAGACGACCAAACCCTTGACTTCTATGGCATTCAACCTGGGTCCACAGTCCATGTTCTGCGCAAGTCGTGGCCTGAGCCTGATCAGAAACCAGGTGAGCGGGAGGCTTGACCTCTGACAGAAAGGGGTGATTTACTGAGTAGCTATTGAAGATATTGTTCCTACTTGTTGCCTAGATTGCATAATAAACAAAGACTAGCCTTGGCCTTAAAATGAGTACCACTTTTCAACTTCTAAGTTCATTACCCACTCTTTTCTAGTAAGATGGGGAATTTATGTCTATTTGAAATACCTTTAAGTTAAGAGGAGATCTGTTGGCCTAGTGTTTAAGGAGTTGGACTGCTAACTCAAAGGCAGGTGGTTTGAATCCACCAGGAGCTCCTCAGGAAAGAAATGAGCAATCTCCTCCCTTGCCATTTACAGCTTCTGAAAACTTAGTATGAGCTGCAGCTGTGGATCACTTACACCTTGATGGCGATGAGTTTTGAGTATTTGTTGTTGTTAAGAGCTTGTTTCTCCATAAATTTTATATCCTATTGTTCTCATTAGAAAAGAACAGAAAACTTTTGTACTCTTCTAATGTTTTCATCCTACAACTGCTTTAGGTAATGATCTGCTTGGTCAGCCAATTCCTGCTGTACTTAAAATTTCTTTTCCTGAAGCTTGAAAATATTCAAACCATATTAAAGTAGCTTTTTTAGTAACTGTGTAAAACTTCAAATGCTTTTTTATAATTTATTGATAAAAGGTACTGATTGGAATTAATAATATAACATTTAAAATTAATAGTTTGCATTTATGTTTTACATTAGCTAGCCAAGGCTAAGGGAGCTTTGGCTGGTTATGTCGTCCATTATATGTTGCACTGCTGACGCAAAAGCCGAGAGTCTCTGGCAGTTTGATTCCACCAGTGCCTCCAAGGGAGAAATAGAGGCAGCCTCTATTTATATTTATAACATGGGAAGTCCGGTGGAGGGGTGTTGTGAGTTGGAACCAGCTTGATGCAAGAGAGTGAGTGGAGTGAATCAGAGATTAAGCTATATAAAAGAGATAAAACTCAAAACTTAAATTCATTGCCATAGTGTCAGAACTGACAGTAATTCTCCAGAGGATTTTCCAAAGCTGTAAATCACACAAGATGAAATTGCCCATCTTTCTCTCTGAGCAGCTGGTGATTTGATCTGCCTATTTTGGGCTAGCAGTGCATCTCGTTACCCACTAGGCCATAAGAGCTCCCTGTAAAAGAGATTGTTTTAGTTGTTGTTTTGTGCTGTCATGTCAGAACTGACTCACAGGTGACTCTCCAATTGGTTTTCAGAGGCTGTTAATCACATGGGAGGAGATTACCCATCTCCTCATAGCCTTTGAATTGGTAGCAAAACTCCTTACCACTAGGCTACCAGTGCTCTCTCAGAAGAGAGAGTTGTGTGTTTTTTTGTTTTGTTAAACTGGCACTTTGATATTTTTATAATGTTCACACTTACTGTGATGTGCATGGTTATTGTGAATAGTTACCAACCAATTTGAAATTTACTGTTTTTCAGTTCTAAGCATAAAGGACAAAAATATCTTTTCTCTGTTGCTGGGATGTGAGAAAGAGAAAAGCAGCCCTGAAATGTGGGGTCTGGCTTGGGACTTTTAGCTGAATCTTGATATTCTTAAATTGAACATGAACAGTTTCATAGATTAGCATGAGAACAGGCCACCTACTCTGAGAGTGTTGTGGACAAGACAAAAATGAGTTTCTTAATCATGTTTTGCAACTTAGACTTAAATTATAACAAAAAGTAAACATTGTCCAAACCATAAAAAATGGCCCTATAGCAGTCTATCCTGGTTAGTATGAGTGCCCACTGCTGCTTTACCAGTTCCAGGTTTACTCTTTTTTTTTTAAAATTATTTATTTTATTGGGAAAAACATACTGGGAGTACAAGGAGGCGAGGGTTGAGGGCGGAAGGGTGAGGATAGGCAGGGATGCAGTTGCAGAGCTGCAGAAATTGGTTGGTGGGGGGAGCAGGTGAAGGAAATGAAAAGGATCCAGTGGGCAGGTTTACTCTTGTACCAGTTTCCCATCCTTCTGGATTGCCTTCTAAACTACAGCCTCCAGTATCCTGAGATCAGCACTACTAGATGGTGCCCAGATACCCAACTGCCACTTGGATTGGGACCACAGAAAGTCCTGTACAGAATGGAAGAAAAATACAGAACAAAATTCACAATCATTATAAAGACCAGATTTCCTGGTCTAATAGTGACTGACTGATGGGACAGACCCCTGAGACTGTGGTCCTTTGACACCCTTCATATCTGCAACTAAATCTACCCCGGGGGTCACCTTTCACCCAAATAGTGGTCAGACTTTAAGGAGAACGCTGGCACTCAGGAGGAACCTACTTCTGAGAATAAACAACGAGACCAAAAAGCAGTATTTGCCCAAAACCGAAGTTCATATGGCGGGAAGGGGCACAAAGGAAGGATGTATGGTTTAAGGGAATCCAGGGAAGAGAGTTGCAACTAATATTATAAAACAGTATGTGTATAAGTTGTTGAATGAAAACCTAATTTGTTCAGTAAGCTTTCACCCTAACTCGGTGAGGGGAATGGGCAAGAGGTATAGTCAGTCCCATTCCAAGGGCATCTAATTCAGAGCAGAGCCTCTTCTTTAAATATCTATCACACAGTATCACTCAGCCACACCCTGCAAATCCTTTCACCACATTTTCATTGAGGTTCTTCATGGTGTGCATCTTTCCATATAGAATGAGCTTAGATAAACCCAGCTTGTTCAAGTATAGGTGTGCCCTGGTGGTCTTTGGCGCAGTAGTAGTAACAGAAAGAAAGATTTGTTGCCTCTGTGAGCTTTGTTTTTCCCTTTTAGTATCTCGTTTAACCATTATAGTCAGTCTGCAAAGTAGGAAATAGTATTTTATAAGTAAAAAGAAAGGCTACAAAGGGCATTTCTTTAAGATCATCTACTTAGGAATTCTAAAGTTGGAATATGAATTCATATCTTTTTGGATCAGGAATGTGTGTCCTCTTACGGAGCTGGCCACCACCCCGTTCCAATGGGTGAAGGTAGTTCAGAGACAACCATTTCTCTTATCTGGTTGTCAGCGTGAGCTGTTGAAGGGGCCCTTTCCTCCCCCACGTTCTGCCTCAAGATTTTTCTTTTTTGATACAAATGGAATTTTTATTGGGAGGTAAAAAATGAACATTCAGATTTGAAAAGAAAGTAGGGTTTGTTTGGTTTTTTTTTTTTTTTTGGTGGAAGTAGTTGAGCTGTTTTATCCCAGAGCATGCCTTTTGTAAAAGCAGACACGTTTCCTGATCTCCCACTGGATTAGAGCCTCTAGGAGGACTCTTCACTCCCACCATTCCCACATGGATTCCTTTGGTCCTTCTCCAAGGCCAGTTGCACATCCCCTTCAGGATCTTACCTTGGCCTGCTGTTGGGCAGGAATATATACATCCTGAGTTCTAGCCACACACACAAAAAGGACTGCCTCTTCAAAGCACCCATTCTTTTATTCCTCTTTGCCTTCGCACCTGTTCTTACTGGGCTTAGAAGGCCTTCTCCTCCCAGGAAGCACCTATGCTTTAAAAGACCTGCTCCAAGGGCACCTTCTGGGAGGCAACTCAGTGTCCTACTTCCTTCTCTTCACGGATGGTCCGCACCCGTTATGTTCCCAGCGCGTGGTACCCACACATTTGTGGAGGATCTCATTATGACGTTTTGCAGTGTGTGTGTGTGTGTGTGTGAGAGAGAGAGAGAGAGAGAGAGACCTGCTCTCTTTTTCTCCTGCTGTCCTGCGAGCTCCTGGATGGCAGGTGCTTTCATTCATGGCTTTCCTCTCCCTTGCCTAACGGTGGACAAGGGGTAATGATACTCCAAGACATATATGCCTGTTGAAAGAATCCATTGGCTAATTAGTTAAGATGACTGTTCATCAAGGGAAAGCCCTCTTCATTAAGACTGTAAATAGGAGTGTGAGTGCCACAGACTTTTTTTTACCCCTGGGCTTGGGCAGCGCATAGTCTGTACAATCACAAGGAGCTGGTCTGGGTGAAAATAACCACACTTAAAAGTGTGCTCGAGGAGACCGAAGGAGGTGGTCCGGTCGGCGCACTGAACCTGCAGGGCTCGCGGTGGTGGAGTTCCAGGTCTGAGGGTCTCCAGCATCCAGGCAGCGGCGTGGGCGGCCTCTGCAGGGAGCTGAGGTGGAGGCCGGGAGGTGACACCGCCACCTCCGGCGGCTGCGCCCGGAGTAAGGCAAAAGAGAATGAAAGAAGTAGATCATCTTGATACTATAAAAGAAGAGTGGGTTTGTAAAACAGGGTCTAACAACCCACCTGTTAGTGACACTTGACAAAGGAATTGTGAATATTTTGTTTGATAGCCTTTTTGAGGACGCTCAGAAGGTTGCTGCCAAATGCTTGTCACCTACTGAAAAGAAGAAGCAGGCAGGTGTAAGTATAAAATTATGGAAAAAATGGATTCACAGTCAATGATGACTTCAGCAGTTATTCTGATGGTGCAAGCCAGCAGTTTCTGAACTCCATCAAAAAGGGGGTATTATCTTTAGAATTACAGGGGATATATGCTAAAGAGGAAGTGGATGTTAAAGTTGAAGATAAGAAAAATGAAGTTTATATGTCAACCAAGCCTGTATTCAAGCCCTTCTTGGGAGTGGGTCACAGACTGGGAAGTGCCACACCAAAAATTTTTTTTAAAATAAAGAGAATTAGGGTTGAGAATAAAAACAAACTGTGTACTGTCCCGTTAAACAATCTGGAACCAGTCACTAACATACAGATCTGGTTGGCCAGTGGGAAAAGGATTATCCAGAAATTTAACATTTCTCACAGGGTGAGCCACGTCAAAGATTTCATCGAAAGATACCAAGGATCTCAAAGAAGTCCCCCTTTTTCTCTGGCAACAGCGCTTCCCTTCCTCAAGATTGTTAGATGAGACACTCACTCTGGAAGAAACGCATTTACAGGACGCTGTGATCATTCAAAGACTCAAAAAAACAGCTGAGCCTTTTAGAGAACTTCCATAGCATTGGGTTTTGGTAGAGTAAGTGGATTGTTTTGGAGAAATGGTGATTATAAATGGACATGAAATAAAAGTGAAGGAAAGAGTAGTCAAATTCACTGGACTTTTGGGTCAAGAACTATTTAACTTTGGCATTTTTCAGTAAGTATAAGTCAGTGAAGTACAATGTGACTAGAAACTATATTCAGTGCACTTTTTCCAAAAGGCTGCTCGGAGATAATATACCTATTTTAAAATACCAACTAATCAACATAAGGTATATTACAATAGTTCTAACATAAAGATCTTAATGTGGTGTAAATTAGCAAATATGTTCACACTACCATTCATTAAAAGCACTGTTTAATTACCTTTCCAAATGGAAGTGATTTACTGAAATAAGTGCTCTGTGTCTCAGACTAAAAAGATAACAATAAATTAGAAAAAACAAAATAAAACTGCAAAATACCACAAACTATTAATTGCAAGAGAATTGTCTTCTGAGAAACATGTTTGAACAGAGCCCCACCTTAACCTCAGAATGTTCTCAATTTTCATTCTTTGTGACAAGATTCAAAATACTGAATTGACGACAGAATCAAAGATGTGTTTTTATTTCATAATAAAATTTTATAGCTTAATATAAAAAGTGTGCTCACCCCTTAACTATGCATGCTTGTCAAATTTTTTTACCCTTGATATGAACTGATGTCCTAAAGTAGTAAAGTTATCAGGCAAAACTAAGACAACAACTAAACTTCCCAGCATATATGAGTCATAATCATCCAGAGTTGAAAAAGGAATTTTGGACCCCTGGGAAACATTTGCGTCAAACATGAGATAAAAGTTTGTCAAAAGCATTAGGAGTACCGTGTGTCCTGGCCCTTCTTGTACTTTCTTTTATGTTCAAGATGACACTGCAGAAGCTTGAAAGGAACTTGTCACAGAGAGCCTGTCACCCTGCCTGAATGCTGTTCTCATCCCCTTCCAGCCCCGGGCCGTATGCACGCTGACACATTTTACAAAGTTACACCAGACAACACATATACAACTGTATTCTGTTCTCTATCTTACCATATTGTGTCAACATGGCTCCAGAGGGTTAAGATGATTTGCAGTATATATCTTTAAAAAAAAAAAAATAAAAATCACTGCACATGAGCTTACTAAGTTGAATATTCCATCCTCCTGTTCACATGTAAGTGGCCTAGAATTCCCTCAATGGGTTATTGGTCCGAAGATTCTTTTTTATATGGCAGAGCTGGAACCTCAGTCTGGTTGCTTGGTTGTCTATTAAAATTATTGAAAAGAGACTGCAGTGTCTTAAGAGAATGAGTTGCTGCTTCTGGAAACTCAGGACCGGTGTTGAAGGGGGTTTCAAGGTCATCTGGCGGAACATAGTTCACAAAGACAATGTTCTCCCTCTTTTCTCTAGTGAGCAATGATTAGGGTTGTTTTTTAAACTTGTGAGCAGCCATTGAAGGTGCAACTACTATTGGTCTCTCCTCATTTGGAACAAGGAAGAGTGAAGAAAATGAAAGACAGATGCATGGAAACAGTTGAGAGGAATAATGGACTGTGTGAGCTTCAGCCCCTACCAACCCTGAGACCAGGAGGGCCTGGCTGCCATAGAGAGAGGTGCAGCTCCTCAGACTGTGGCCCAGGATTTTCATCCAAACATTAGACAGGCATGTAAGGTGGACGTTAATCCAGGGAAGTATACATTCCTCGGAACATTCAACAATATGATACTTCCAAAGGGCAGTGTGTTTCCAGTAATAAAACTCAGAAGGCAAGAAGAGATAGAAAAGGATGGCAAATGAAACTAGTAAACACAGGGGCAAAGCGTAAACGATTGCAATTGGTGTTAGGAAGCTGGATGTGTATGAATTGTTGAATGGAAAACCAGCTTGCTTTGTAAATTTTCAAATAAAAAGTTAGAGACAATGAAAGTACAATGTGCATATCAATGGCACTCATGGGCTTTTCTGAATTGGTATTCATGTGTTCAGTGGGTCAGTGAGACAGGTCAGCCCCCAGACTATGCAGCACCTGGGCAGATGCCACAGTCATGTATATTGTGGGTTATTGGCCTCGGCTGTAAGGTGACTGTTTGTCTCTTCCTCAGAACCTGTGGACAGAGTGGCTGCCATGAGGGAGTTCCGGGTGCTGCACACCGCCCTGCACAACAGCTCTTCATACAGAGAGGCGGTGAGTGTGCACTCGCGTCCCCAGTCTGAGACTCCTGCAAGGCCTGCAGGAGAGGGTGTGGGCCCTAGGAACCCATTGCCGTGGCAACCAAAGTTCCTCGGGGAGTTTTTGTCATGTCTGTGGGCTTCAGAAGAGCCCTGCCATCTCCAGAGAGGCCCCTCATCCGGGCATTTTTGATTCCCTCAAATGACAGTGATACAACCTCTCTTGATATAGGCCACATGAAATGAATTCGATTGCAACAGAGTGATCTGGGTACCACTGTTCTGTGGGTCTCATTGTTTAGCCAGATAGCCTGCCCGTTGCCCCTTTCCTGGATTTCTTCATTGAGAAAGTGGGCTGACGCCTATTTATAGGCGAGTTGGCAAAAAAAATTGATACAGTTAGGAAATTCTCCATTTATATGAACATCAAATGATAATGGCATGAAGATTGAAAAGGATTTTTGAGGCCTAGCAAACCCATTGTTCATGGACTTGTAGTGACAGCTTTATTTTGAAAGCATTAAAACTATATAGCTGGGAGAAAGGACCAGAGATTGGAGGTTTACTGTAGTCTCGCTTTTTCCCCCATTTTATTTTATTGTTTCTTTCCACTCCAGTAAGCCATGTGCTCAGACTAAAGAGAAGGTCAGGTGTTTCCCGGGGCTGTCATTCCATTGTGGTGGCCTCTGTGCAAGCACTTAGCGGAAGGAAGCACTTGAGGAGCATGTGGGTATTTGTGAAGTGGAGCACATGCTGGTTGGGGTGCTTAGCCCTCCCCATTCCTCCTGTAGGTCTTTAAGATGCTCAGCAACAAGGAATCATTGGACCAGATCATCGTGGCCACCCCAGGCCTCAGCAGTGACCCCATTGCTCTTGGTAAGTGCAGGAGTGAACTTTGATGGTGTGAGAGTTGTTAGCAGAGGAGGAAACCAGGAGAAGACAATTACCTTTTGACCATTTCTTAAATGATCTCTGGTCTTGTGAGGGGGAGGAGTAACCAAAATGTGTTAGATAATGCCCAGCTCTCTTAAGAGCTCATTCCTATGGAGAGATAATGCTTTAAATCATAAATGAGGACAACTGTTAGCCCAAACCACAGCCACAAGGGAAGACTTACTAGCTTTCATAGATCAGGGAAGCCCCAGAGATAGAGGAAAGAAACTGCTTGGAGTTGGTGTGCAGTGTGTGTGTTTAGTGTGAGCAGAACATCTCCACTGGAACAAGGTGGAATCCTAGGCTGGAGAGGGCCTGCACAGGACTCCTGTCTCTCATGAGGACTGGTTTCTGGTCCTGTGTCCTTGTGTAGCCTGGTTCTCTCTGAGGTGAGCCGTGTTCTCTTTCAGGAGTTCTTCAAGACAAGGACCTGTTTTCTGTTTTCGCTGATCCCAGCATGCTTGATACGTAAGTATGATCTTCTTAGGAACACCATGTGGTTAGGCCAGAAACCTAATTGTTTCTGGCCCAAGAAGCCAAAAACCTAAGATGAATGGATTTTTATTCTTGGGTCTCATTCCTCGTCTGTCACCAGGTCTGTCTTCTAAATATGTCAGATTGTGAGGAAATGAGAAAGGATACTTGGGGGAACAATAAAATTCAAGGACAGAGAGTATTGGGCTAATGCAGGGATTTGAGGGAGAGGGCCTTCCTTGCCAGGCTCAATTTAGATTTCATGCAATAGATATTGGGGAAGGAATTTAAGCGAGGGGAAGGAGAAACAGATGCATAGATTCATAAAATTTTAGTCCTCAAAGGGAAAGCAGATGTTACAGCCTCCTCTTATGCAAATGAAGAAGCCAAGCTCCTATGGGAGAGGGCGTGTTAGTTTGCCCAGTGAGGAGTCAAACCAGAAACTGAACCTGAACCTGCTGGATCCTTCCCATCTTGCCATGCTGCCTCTCACCTCATCAGAGGGGAAGGGCCCTTCGTTGTGAAGAGTATGAACTGGATTCCAGAAACTGGAGGCTCTCCTGGTATTGCTCAGGGCAGAGCAACACGAGGATACAGCCACCTGGAAGAAGGACTAGGTTGTAAAAGAGCCAGTGCAGGGGACCTGATTGTTGTGAGGCCTCTTCTTTTGCCATGGCTGAGAGTGTTCTGTTCTCAGTGACCCTTGGTTGTCTCCCCACCAGGTTGTTGCCTACCCACCCAGCCCTGGTCAATGCCATCGTGCTGGTTCTGCACTCGGTGGCAGGCAGCACCCCACTGGCAGGCGCTGACCCCTCTTCCCGGAGCATGCCCTCCAGTTCATACCGGGACATGCCAGGTGAGCCCCGGGAGAGCTGGGGGTGGACCTCCCCGGGAGCCAGGCGGGCCTGGGAGTGCACTTTCCTCAGCAGCTATGTATAGCTCTGGCAGAGGGCGTTCCTCGGGAACTCTCGGTTTGAGTCAGGAAGTGCATCTGTCCTGTAATTTTCCAACTGAGAGATGAAAATATGGATTTGGAGAGTAAATCGAACTGAGATTTTGGAGCTGCGCCTGTGCCTTTCTGTTCTCCAGAAATCTGTTCTCCCTCCCTCAGGTGGCTTCCTGTTTGAAGGGCTCTCAGATGATGAGGACGACTTTCATCCCGTACGTAGCTATCTGCTGACTGGGGGAGATGGGGCTTGGGGTGTACCCCTGGCTGGGACCTGGCATTTCCCAAATCTGGAAGGTCGTCATTGCTCTTCAGTTGCCAAGCCTGTGTCATAATGTTCCTTTTCCTGGATCCTTTTCTGAGCCTGGAAGTTTACTGAGCCTCCCTAAGAACTCCTCAAATTAGGTGGGTTTCTCCAGGGAATCTCACGGTTCTGTTTCCCTGATTCTGGGTGCTTCCCTTCTCCAGAGCGCCAGGTCTACACCATCCAGCAGCACACCCAGCTCCCGTCCAGCCTCCTTGGGGTATAGTGGAGCTGCTGGCCCCCGACCCATCACCCAGAG